CAGCTTCATATTTCACATCCTAAAAAAATATATTAAAAAAGTTAGGTGTATTGAGAACATCGTATTAGCTTAAATAAAATCTCCTCCAAAACTATAAATGATGGCTGTAGTTGAACTCAGTGATATTTCATCATATAAGTACACTTACAGCGCAACATAAAGCTGAAGCCAAGAATTTAGAAGAGAAGAAATAACATGAATTCAGGGAATATCAGGAGCTACTAAAAAACACACCCTAAAATTTTGAGGGCATACAATCTAAGGAGGGGGTTTTAGGAGGAGATTATCCCACATTGTCTATATTGTTCCTGAGGAACTGGGAAGTCAAATTCCTCTAAAGGACATGGACCTGCAGTCCCTGCGGTGTCATGGGACAGCAGCTCCCACGCAAGGTGGGAGCAGACACTGCGTTACACATCAAGCTTCCAGCATGCAGGCAGCTGTATAGATCCTTCAGTGCCTATAGTCAGAAGAAATTCAAATTCATCTATTTTCCTTGCCCCACTTCTTTTCATGACAGGTCTCAGCAGCACTGAGCATCCTGCCAGTATTTAAATAAAGTAACTGCTTATAATGCTTCATCCTGTCCCATTATAAGTATCTCAAACAACAGCACCTCAATCACAGGCTCCTTTTGTATCCTCATGTCATTGCAGATCCTTGCAATACACTAAATAATATTTTTCTCTGCTATTTCAACAACTACTAACAGCAGTTATGGTATCTTTCCTTTGTAACCTCTTAGCCAAATTTAGGTCACTTTGATCACAATATTAGATTTAGCTATTTTTTCAATGTAAAAAAAAAAAAAAAAAAAAACCAAAACCCTAACATCCTAGTTTGCAGAAAAGTTGCAAACCAACTTCAAAAGACAATGGCGACGTTCAGCATCTCAGAAGAATGTCTCATTAAGATGACAGTTCATACATTTAAAAAAAATATATTAAATTTTAGGTAACCAAACTTGTAAATACTGGCCTTGTTTCCTGAAGTCTTATGAAATTAAACCTCCCAGCCCCAAAGGCTTCTTTCCTGCATTCTTTTTCTTTTATACTCCAAGCTTGCTCTAACTACAACTGTTATCTATTTGAATAGCAAGAAAAATCAGATAAAGCAATCACACTGTATTATCAGAAGGGTCGGGGAGAAATGGAAAATTTCCTTTGTCATTTTATGAGATACTGTTATAATGAACACTGAAAAATTATTTCACACCTTTTTTTTTTCCATTCTGATACGTGACTGAAACCTGAAACTTCTTTTTGCACATCTAGCAAGCTCTGAACGTCACCTTTAAAACCATTTAATCCTCTCCACTTACACTCAGACTATATTGGAGGTACCTGGTCAAAGTAAAAGATTTCTAATCCCTCAAGCACTGAATTGTACGCTCTGCGTTTGTCATAAGCCTGTGACCTGACTGATTTAATCTAATTCGATTCCCTTCAATGCATCCAAAAGCATTTTCATAAAGTCCCTCCTATTTGCTGCTGCTTCAAGGACAGGTTTTCCATTTGTTTCAAGACAGATTACTGTTCCAAGTGCAAGTATGTTACAGAAAATGAACCTGTTCTCACATATCAAACATCAGTTTAATTATCCTACCTAAAGGACATTGAATTATGAATACTCTCTGCCAGGACACTATCAATGCAAGGTGTTTACAAGCTCATGCAATTACCCACCTAAATCATTTTCATTTCAATAAAGATAAAAGTTCTGAGAGTATCACTTTCTAGATTTTTAAAAAGCCTCCGTACATCATTTCTTTTCACAGAATCACAGAATGGTTGAGGTTGGAAGGGACCTCTGGAGATCATCTAGTCCAACCTCTCTGCTCAAGCAGCGTCCTCTAGAGCATATTGCCCAGGATCGCGTCCAGGCGGGTTTTGAATATCTCCAGGGAAGGAGACTCCACTACCTCTCTGGGCAACCTGTTCCAGTGCTCTGTCACCCTCACAGGGAAGAAGTTTTTTCTCAGGTTTAGGTGGAACTTCCTGTGGTTCAGTTTCCATCCATTGCCTCTTGTCCTGTTGCTGGGCACCATGGAGAAGAGACTGGCCTCATCCTCTCGACACCCCCCTCTTCAGATACTTGTAGACATTGATGAGATCGCCTCTCAGTCTTCTCTTCTCCAGGCTTATTTTCCAGCAACAACTTATAGAAACCAAGATAGCTAAAATCCTCAGAAACCTATGACCTTGTATCAGGTCACCTCAAACATCAGCTAATAAGCGTGCATATACTGCCTAGCACTTCCACTGGCTCCAGTTCAGAAACAGCACTGTTTTCTTTCCCCCCGTTATCATCCCAGTCCACAATGACGTATATTACATAACATCACTTTCTCAAGTGGTGAAGTGCCAACAGAAAGTACCTTGGGACAGACCGACAAATTTATCAGCAACAGATGGATTCAAAATGATCTGAATTTTTTATTACAGCTGTCAGTCGGGTCAGACAACCTGTCCATGCTTTGAAGTGTGCACACTTGTGAAAGATTTTTGCTGATAAGCACATACTTTTTATTTATTTGGTGAACTTGATCTTACATGTTGACTTCTACATTCCAAATTTCCCTTGACATATTACTAAGAAATGCAATAACAATGGTGAAGTAGCGTTAGGCTCTAGTAGCAGCCATCAGGCCCTGAAAAACAAGGCACTGTTTTCTTTTGCCTCAACAGTTACTAAAAGATTACAACAGAAATCTCTTTTCCTCAAAATAACGAGTTGCTTTGCGCCACGTTGCTGCGTTAAAGTCTTAATGCTGATATGCCCACAAACCCATATCCTTCTGGTCAGAAGGGACTGACTGCATCAAATTAGACCACCATTTACAAAAATAGGATACCCTTCCTACAGATAATTGCCATATCCAGCCACGTAATTTTAAAATTCTGATTGAAATAAATCCCTGAAATTATGAAGCTTGCTGTCATGTCTGTCTCCACTATTTTTCATCCATTTATGCCTCCAAATTAAGCGCTGGCCCATCTGAAACCATCAGGGAATGAGTGGTTGGATCTACAGGCATTCAAATTCTTTTCTAAATCCCCCTCTTAGCCATTACTTTCTTGGTATCTACTCATAACAGTAAACTGTAACAGCTATTTGATGTCACAGGAAAAATCTAAGTGGAAAGATGAGACAGTTTTTGTTTCCCATTGTCCATACCAAGTTAAGCGTGTTACTGATATTTTCCCCACATGGAGTTTCTCAACAAATCTATGCCCCAGTCTTCTGCAATCTTTCTGCCTTTGTCCTATTCCGGACAACTCTTCCCACCAATGTTTTAGCTTTTTAAAATTATTGTTAACTTTCAGTCTAAAATACTGTAACTTCTACCCTCTGGCTCCACTGCTTCTTTCTTGCTTCATCAAGTCCAAAAGGAGCTGCCAATACATTCTGCCTTCCCTGTTGTTCCAGTGGCATGTTCCCTCCACAACTATCTTAGGTTGCTTTTTTTTTCCCCATTAAATTCATGCTTCCACTATTCAAAACACTGCACAGCACCATACTGTATACTGTGACTCTTTTTGTGCAAAAAATTTTGTATCTTTTCATCCACTTGAGATTTTGTATACTTTTCATATTACCTTGTAACCCTTAAAAAGTCTCTTGGCAAGCTGAGCAAGAAGAACAGCAAAAGCAGGTAAATTATATCTGCAAATGCCTACTATAAAACTCCGATTTATTTATCTTCAAGGTCATCAAAGGAGGTTTCTGCACAAGGCTACAAAGTCAACTTTTTTTGTAATCCATTAAGAACATAAATAAATCAGTTGTACAGAGGTGGTTAATTCTAGTGCTTCAATACCACGCAACACTAATTTTTGGATTTCACGGACTTGTTAATTAAAGGCTTACTAGTAATAAGATGTCACCCACGTTCAACTCATGTTCACAATACCCAGGACAGTCTTTGCAAAAGATATGGTGGAGCAGAAGGAAGGGATCTAAGAAAAAAGGCCAAAAATGTGAGGTTTCCTTAGTTGAAAGGTGCGCGCACAAACTGTGCATGCACAGTGAGCCTCTTCTAATGCGCTCCTTGAAAAAAAAGCAGACTGTTGGGGAAAAAGATTGTCTTAGCAAATTTTATGCACCTCTATGTAAGTCACTCTTCAGCATATTCAGTAGTTTTCCATTTTAAACTTTTAACATAAAGTCCAAAAAGAGAGATTAAAGTTATACCCTCGGGGCTTTCAGGTTTCTGATAATGCACAATCCGGACACGCTAAACAACAAAAACCCTCATGTGTATCAATGAGAAGTTCAGTATTTATTACAGTGCACATTGACAGTACCACATTAAACAAGAATTTATGGGTTTGATGCAGAAATTACTGAGGGAAACTCTACAGCTGTTATTCAGGAGGCAAGACTAGCTTATGATAATAGCCATTTTTGCCTTAAAATTTATGAAGCTATGAATACAAATAAGAATATGATTTACAGACCCCACTTTTTTCTGAAGTTTGTCACACACTGATGGCAAGAGTGAAAACTGAGACTCCTCATTGGAAAAGAGTCAAAAGAGGGCCATAACACTACATACAAACTCTCATCTAAATATTTTAACATATTATACTGACTTCTTAATTTCATGAAAACATGTGAAGAGAACTGTTCCTATATATAGCTAAAAGCTTGACTCTCCTCTTACTTATATGTACTGGATATAATTCTACAAAAAAGTGCTGTAATACCCCAACATAAAGGTGGTTAGAAAACAAATCAAGCCAACAAGTCTACAGCTCCTAAGCTCTGATTTTAATTAAATATTACTTCAAAGTCACTTACAGCTTTGATGGATTCCTCATCAGTCAAGCTTTTCATCACAACTTCCAAGCTGGTGTCTTCTTCTCTGTTTGCAGGTTCAGTGCCACCATGATCCTGGCAGAAAGGATGGATGCCAATTTTTAAACAGAGCTATGGTCCAGCATAATAGCTAAAGATAAAATTAGACAATTTGTACCTTTTCCTTCATTTTTCTAAACAAGTATCAGCATGAAAAAAAAATAAAAAAAAAAAAATTAAAAAAAAAAAAAAAAAAAAAAAAAGAAATCCACAACTAAAGCACCTTCATGTCAGGAGACAAATAAGCAACGCAAGTTTTGTGGGACAGATCTCAGTCTCCACTTGGCCAGTCCAAAGTAGACCAAGGCAGTCCAGTGCTAACAGTTAGGAGCAGATCTGGGCCACCTTTCAAGGTGGACTAATCCCTGTGAACTGTGAAAACCAATCCGAGTGGGTCAGCACCAGCAGGACTGAGAGCTCTTCCCCTGGAGCAATAGCTAAAGCCTGGTTAGCGCCAGGTTGCAGCACGTGGACCTTGAGCTGGGTAGACTCATGCCAGCACTGGAGTATGATCCTCAGCTTCAAGTGTAAATGCAGCCACAAGATTCAAGTACTTCTGCACATTACTGTGAGAATACTGCAAACACCACTCAAGGACAACTATCAGAGAACCAATAAATGAAACTATTGTGCCAAAAGACAAGACCTCTTATTTTCTGTAAGAGGTGCAACAGAGCTTCCTTGTGCATGAGGTCTGGCTTTGAACATGCGTGCATGCACCTACGCTGCTGTTGCAGAAGGAGATTTTGACCCACGGGGAAATCAGTTTTTCTCTTTCTCTTTCTGTACAGGAATCCCAACAAAAAAGGCCCCTAAAACATAAAATGGCCCTATACTGAATAGAAAAGCTTGTCTGATCAGGATTTTCGGATATTTTCGGATATTTTCTCTACATAATAACTAGGATATATTTAAGAAGCATATGTTGGCAAGAAGAATGGTTTCCTTCCCAAAACAATCAAAGTTAAGATAGACAGGAAATAGTATATTTTCTGGAAAAAGGTTGAGTTAGAATTTAAAGCCTTTGATCTAAATCTGGAGCTGTTCTCTCTCGCAAAGCAAAATGGACTTTCTATGACACCAAATTCTGAAATCTTCTGAATTCTCATTAAACATTGTACAATTAAAGGTAAAATGGGAACTATGCAATTGGTGTCCCGATCACCATCTGAGGGACCAACTACTTCTCTTTTCTTGAGAAGGCTCACTCTGCCCAGTATTGCAACAGAGTGCCTCACTCCATTAACAAGACACATTATGGAAGGTGCAGCTCTCTGATCAGTGAAACTTCCTGAAAACAGAGCTTTTAGACTAATGAGCTACATGCTTGGGTTTTGGTGCTTTGCCACAGTATTATACCAAAGCCTCGTCACATTCTGTCCAACAGCTCTATGTAACAAAATAAGACCTGTCTCTGTTTTAATGAATACTACTGTTTAGCATTTTCCATATTAAAATAACTTAACGAAGATAAAGACTTAAGCTGAAGAAAATTAACACAGTAGCATATGGTAATCATGGCACCCTGATATTCTGTTAAACTGGCTGGCTATTTTTTTTATGATCTGACACCTTTCACGTACAGTGTAAGTAGCACACATTAAGCATTTATTCAGTTTTTCAGGATATAAGGCACAGTCAGCATTTTTTTTAAAAAAGACATGAACAGTTGGCCAAAGAAAAGCTATTTCAATTTCCATGTGGTGACAGTATCTGTTGCTTAAATTCATTTTATGGGTTAAGGAAAAAAGAGATAACTAGAAGTCAAAACCTGCATTTACTCAAGAAGCAGACACAGCACTGATGGTAAGAGCTTTCCACTACTGCGTGAAGCTCAACCCACATGCAACTACCTTGCAAGGCAAAAGTAGCCCATGAGACTGAAGTCTGGTTTCTACGCGCCGGGAGATTGCAAGTACAGACAGTCAACCACACAACAGAACAGGATGAACTAAAGCTTTGTGGCACATCGTGAATACACAAATACTAAACAAAGTTAGGAAGAAAGGCAGGGATTACAGCATCAACAAAGCTTGAACCTGGGCTGTGTAAATTGTAGAGTGACTTGAACCCAACAGCGGCAGTTTCCCCTTGGAATATGTTGCTTTTATGGGGGTGGAAAAAAAAAGCCAAAGCAGTACCTAAAAATGACTTGGAACCAAGCAAAAACTAAGCAGCTCTTGCACTGCACAGCACAAGCCTTGAACACAGCTATAGCTGTATGGCAATAACCATCAACGTTAAAGCAATAGCAAGCACGTCACCAGGAGATTCAGCCGGCATTACCTACAAGACCACAGTGTTGCGGGGTAACAGTAATGCTTATGGAAATATCAAGACTCTAATGCCCCTGAATTTATCAATTCAAGGCAAGACTAAACCTCAATTGAATTATAAAACATGTTTTGCTTTATTAGCTCAAATAGAAATAGAATTAAAAAGCAACAGCCAAGCTAACCATGTGCTTTATCTAGAAAATTTCATTACACTATATCAAGATGTCAGAATGATAACAAGGTGGTGACACTGCATGGATTCATGATGCACAAGAGAGCAATCAGTCGACCCTGGGGCTGAGACAGCAACTACAACATCATCACCGCATCGGGCAAGTTTTTGCGTTGGATGACTGCATACTGCAACACGGTGCACGAGAGCTCCCTGCCTAAACAGCTCATGTCTGCTCCTGGGGCCCAGGACAAAGCTGTCGGTCATCCTAATTCTTTTGCTGGGCTGCAGATAGGAAGATAGTACTGTTCTGGGGGGACTGGAATTTACAGGGCACGAGCCTTCCCCTGAAAAAACGCTCGTTTCCTCTCCGTAGGAGGATATCCACATTTCAGGCAAAAGGTCCTCACCACTACTACTCTAACGGGCTGAACAAGAAACAGGTTCTCATTCAGAGACTTGTTTTCCCCCGTACAGCAATAAACACTTTAATGCCTGCCACTTAGTACCACGCCAACTTTCAGTAATGATGAGAACAACAACAACAACAACAACAAAAAAAAGGGACAGGGGAAAATACACCTATCGGGTCAAGTTCCTACCCAATGCATTTTATGATTCAGGGTTTAATTAGGCAAGGTGCTTGAATTTATAATGAACTCCTAATTATGATTAATCTATCTAATTTAGTAAACCCTAATTAAAAACAAACAAACAAACAAAAACTTACCTCAATAGAAGAATGGGAACTGGAAGGCAAAGGGAAAGGAGCAACAGCCATCTGATTGAATGCATCTTCATTTCTGTAAAACAAAAAGCAACATATTACACACTAAACCATAATGGCCAAACTTTTCTATTGAGTTGGTTTTGCCCATTAAGAAAATATTATTACCAAGGTAAAAGTAAACTGTTTCTTAAGAAAAGTGTGAGCTTAGAAAAGCACTTCATTTTTGCTTGTGTTCTTTGCTAGTAAACAGATTATATCACTTCTTGAGATCACAGTAGTTTCCTCTGGGAAATACTAACATTGTATACTTCGGAGATCTAATTTAGTACAGATTGTCAGAGGATGCATTTGGAGTTTATGTTCCCTATACATCAATAGACCAAAGAAAGCATCCCAAGAGGAACAATTCTGGACACCCACGCTACGTATAGAAGGTAGTTCAGGTGATGCTCAACATTATGTCCAAAATATGTTTGGGTAAGTGGACAATTAAAAGAATAAAACATAGGAGATTAAAATGCATTTTCAAAAATTATATATGTATTTCTTTTTTTTCCTACTACCATATATTTTGAAACCCCTTCAGAAAGGAAGTCCTTCAAAACTAACATTTAAGAACGTAAGATTAAAATTGGCTTTTAAATCACTCAGCTTAGTCTTCTTTATAGTCGCAGCTACCGCATCATGCAACCTTTGCTGAGCTCCGCATTAAAGCGGGGTTTTTAGCCCCACTACTCTTGCTGGAAAGTGTTGCAAGACCTCTGTGTGCTAATACTTAGGTAACCTCCTCTAATACTGTCTACATTTATTAATAGTTTCTTTATACTCGTCTAATGTATACTTTGCTGAAATACACGTCTGCAATAGATCTACCACCTGTTTTACCAAAATAGCTTGCTTTTTCTTTTTTGTTCATATTTCTTGTGGTCTCTTCTAAAAGACCCAATATAAAAACTTGGAAGAATTTTTAGAAAATGTAGGAAGAAAAGAAAAGTGATGGACATTAACTTCCCCTATATATAAACTCAGTATTTTTCAAAGATGCTTACTATGTATGGCATCTTCTTCCTTCCTCTTTAACTTGCATTCCCAAGTAAGCATCTAATTACTTTGTAACATTCAAAGGCTTTTTTTCTCATTAAATAACATTCTGCCTTGCTAGTGCTTTTCTTCAAATGCCATTTACAGTTATTTTTCTTGTGAAATTAGCTCTGCATTTTTTGGCCTTTATAAGATTGAACCAAGTAAAATATGACTTATGTAATACTGTTGCAATATAAGACATATCAAAAAGTCTCCAAATTTTGCATCGAAAACTGTATTAATGCACCTCTTTATTTCTTGGGTGAGCTACTGTCAGCGAAACACAGAGGCCAGGAATATGTTGCAAACCCTGTTTGGCTAAAGATTCAGTAACGCCACACAGTCTCTGCTCACCCAAACAAGAGGGAGGAGGAAGCAATACCACCACTTTGTAAAAGCAGAGCTTGAGATGAAAGGACTTGACTTCTCACGCAGTGGGTCTGCTTGGTTTGGTTTTTGGTCCCACCTATCTTTCAGGTTACCTTACCACAAGCACTTTTTTTTTTCCCTCCTCTCTAATTTCTGGAATAAAATATTAAACTAAAACTTGCTTAAAATCACTTAATGGAAATGTCTGCAAGAAAAAAGTCTTATTCTAACCCTGAAGAGTTAAACACATGAAGCTAGTATGTTCCGATCACTGAAAGACAACACTATAAATCAAAAGCTCTCAGCAGAGCAGAGGAGAAGAAATTAAATCACAGGCATTTGAAGTGATAAATCCTGCATGCAAAGGTTGGGGAATTCATTTACTTATCTTCAACCAAACAGCCACACAGTTCAAACAAACCCATCATTGCCGTGCTCACTCACAGCCTCTCCTCTTGGCCCTGCTCAAAGCCTTGCAACAGCCAGAAACAACGCTAAGATCAGAGCTGTCGTGGCCAGTGATACAGAAACATGCTTGCAGAAGGCCAAGAAGAAATCCAAGAAACGCACAGAATCAAAAACATGCATTTCAAAAGCACTTCACAATTCAAGTGCATCTCATTTTACCCTGAAAGCATATTAGGCAAGGACATTTTTCTTCCTCTTTTATCCTCATAAGATACTGATCTGATGTTGCTGTTCTAACCTGTAACAATACATCAGCAAATCTAAGGCGCCTAGGAGACCTAGCAATTTTTGGCCAACTACAGATATTTTTCTGACAAGGCTTTAACATGAAGCACAAACCGCGTGAGAACACAACACTCCTGCAGCTTACCAGGCAGGCTGCATAACCTGCAGTTAGGAGCAAACCGGGAAATAACAAGGGGCATGTCTACACCTCTGTCAGGAGCGCCCTTCTAAAAACTGCTACTCCTAGGCTTCGCTATTTGCATTGCAAAGTGCGATGTATCTAATTATACAAACTAGTTTCTACTGCATATATAATATACACACAATGGCTATTCCCATTATTGGGAATATTTTGGGAACATTTTTATGCAGTTTGAAACGGATGGACATTTTTATTTTGCTCAATAAAAAACTTATAGTCATTCCCCAGGAAAAAAAGCCCCCCAAGATAAAACAAATAAACAAATAAAAAACCTCCCAAAAACCAAAAAAATCCAAGGTTACAAAACACCAGAACTTGTAATCTCCCCCTGCTTGGACTTGTACATATTTAAATACCTCAACACTGCTTCAAAGGAGCCTGCTTCAAAGCACTATCAAAGCGGGAACATATTCTAAAGTGACAGATCTAACAATAAATCACTCTTTGCTCTCCATTTCCACAGGTGTCGTTGATTAAAACATGAATTTACTTACAATGAAAAGAATCAGCTTAGAAATCCGAATATATTCGAGTTACAGTGACTGCAAACGAACGTTCAATATGTTTGCCAATAGTCGCTACATCACCACCTCTGAGAAAGCGCTTCTCTGTTGCCAGCGTTCAGTTTTGCTCCCAGTTGTGTGTCTGAACTCTGCGGAGTCAGGACACAGCTTCAGGCTTGCAAGGTCAAAGCAATGCACAACGCAATTCATGCAGCAGGCCAGCTCAGACCCTGCCCATCGCTGCTCTGCAAAAACGATGAACATGCACAGCTCTTGGCCAAGCTCTTCTACTGGTTTATGCAAGAAAGCGGGACAGCAGTTCACCGCCTTGCTGAGCTCACGTACAAGAGAGAGCTGTTCATATTTCATCAGTTACACATAAACTGAATAGGGAATTAATCTTGGGGGCAATAGGTCCTCCCACAAATACTTTCATTGCTTCTAACCTCTCAGGATGAATTTCTAAGGGAAAATGGGAGTGAGATCTGGTTGGAGGCCAGACTGCCTACTGGTAGTACCAACATGAGTAAATAGAGCTCAAGCCTGAAGAAACACCAAACTTCCCTCACTGCAAAAGACTGTAGGAAGCAACATCAAAGTAATAAATACATACATGACAGAGACCCTTTAAAAGTTGAGAAGAGCTCATACACTCTCAGATTTATTTGCTTAAATTGCTGTACTTCACTACATTTTTCTTCCTTTCTAGTCTAAACAGAAACTCTGGACATTCACCTCCCTTTATCACTGACCAGAGAGAAAAAACTTCTGCAAGTTTTGCTCCATCCAAAAACTGCACTTCCAGAGACAGGGGAGATGTGCAGCAATATTGGTATTACTGACTAATAATTAACTCACACAAACACATGGCACAAACAGAGCCTACAGAGAGCAATATGCAAATATAAATCTCGAGGGATTTCTCATTCCACATGGCCTGACATAAGTCTGAAGGGAAGTTAAAGTTGTCTGCCACAAGGCTTCAGCTGACTTTGCCTCGCATGTACTGTGTTGCACTTACCAAAAGCTGTCCGGGGCACTTCGGGGAAATCTCGCACACTGCTGTCACGTGAAATGCGTCCTGCTCTGAAGCATTTCAGAAAGTTATCTTTGAAAAGATGCTAACCAGAAGTCACAGCCTCAGCCAAATTCAGTTTTCTTACTTGCCCAACAACCTCTTACACCTGTAACTCTTTCACTCAGGTTCCCTGCCCTCCTTCAAGGACTTTTTCTGTATTCCACTTTAATTACCCATAAGTCTCTCAGGTTCGTGATGGTTACAGCTGCCACTGTCAAGTAACACTAAGAAAATAAAATACGTGTTGAGCATACAGAATGAGATTCATCTAGCCTTCGTCTTCACCTGTCTAACACTGAGCATCTTGGCTAAGATAGTGTCCAAACTTCCTCTATGGCCAGTACAAAAACAAGACAACTCTAAAGGGCAATTCACCCTAGCACCTAAATGACCTTATTTAGGGTGGGATGAACTGGATTGCTCTACGGAGGCTCCTGCCAACTATTCATTTATCACAGGAAAAGTCTAGATGACCTCTAGATGGCTAAGGTAAGGGAGATGGACCTCCTGTTAAACTATCTGCAACCACACAATTCATGAACACTAAAAAGATCATTTTGCAATGGCTTTGTAGGGGTCTGTGGAAGCTCTTTAGGAATATAAAATATGTCAAGAGTCAGGAGCAAAAACCGATAGCTTGTATGTAGCTGCATGATACTTTAGTTAGAACAGGTCTCAAGAGCAAGGAACTGAACAGTGTTTGCCCAGTAACCTCATGATTCCCAAGGATTTTGGTTGTAGTATCAGGCTGCACAAAGTCCTGCAGATTATCGACAAACCTGCATTGTCCTCCTCCCGTGTTTTCAGCAAGAAAAAAGAGCCAGGCCAAGATTTCCTATTTTCTTATCTTTGTTTTCCTATAAAAGCTTATTTGGAGAAGAACTGCTGCAGGAAAGCTGAACGTTGAAAAGGCACACACAGTTTTTGCTTCAGATGGGTCAAGATAAGACCTTTGTATTGTGCTTCACCTGGGAAAACCTTTCCTGCTAACAGGAAAGCTTGTTCTTCACTTCCCCTCCCGTCACTGTTGACTATATAAGAACCAAATGAATACAAGGACTTTAAATGTGCAACTAATGTTCACTTAACCTACAGTTTAGGTCATGAAAGGTTTGAGAGAGGCCAGTTTACTTAACTTCCTCGACCGAGGACTTATTCACACATATGTGCTACAGCAGGGAGGAAATAGCTCTGCAGAAAACAGGAAAAGAACTTCCAGCTTGTATACAAAGTCGCTGGCAAGAGCTTATTTTTAAAACTTTCCCACATGAAAGAACCCAGTCAAAACAACTGAAAAATAGAGCTTATACTATTAAAAGACAACCAATTATGTAATCTAGAATGAATTTAAAGCAAAAATTATTTACAAAGCATGAAAATGTCTCAACTCCTGATATACAACAACATTACTTATCGAGGCTCTAAAAGTAGAGTGAAGATTCGGTGACAAAGTCATAGCAATGGTAAGTGTTAAAACAGCACCGTGAACTTTCTCCTTTCACTGTGAAATGGCTGCTGTCCTCGCTTTACCCATCCTCGGACAAAATGCAATGCTCTCTCTTCTGCATGTTACCCTAAAGAGCAACTGATTAGTCTTTACAATAATACCTAGAAAGGGAGGGAGGGTTAAAGTGACAGAGATTTGTGGACTTCACTCAGAATGTACAATTCCATCATCACAAAGCAACAATAACGTAACTTAACGACTGCAGTGGGGGAAAACGACCGGACAGTTAACAGATGGTACTTAAACGGGCAAAATCCTACAGTATTTTATTCTTAGAGCATTTCTCATGTTTCAGACAGTATAAGACATCATTTTCATTTAAGAGAAAAAAGGTATATGAAAGAATGAATCACAGGTCTGAACTCAGTTTGAAACGGTTTGAAATCAATCACGTTCACTTTGATGCAAGCATTCAAACTGTATTTGGTTTGCTTATTATACCAACACTGAAGCATCAAAATAGATTAAAGGCAGCTAATTGAGCGTGGACAAAACATCAAATTTGCTGAATCATAAAATTCTCACTCTAAAAGAGTATTCTGATATAAACTGGATTTCCTACTACAAACATGAAATCTAATTACATTGTTTTATTATGCATGTTAAAAGGATGAACTTATAACGCATGCACAAAAAGTACATTGGGTTTGAAAACCGTTCTATTTTGGGAACTAGTGCATACAGACTCCTGCAAGAAACAAGTCCCTTTCTCAGATTCCTCACTGGCCAATTCCCAGCACTGGAGACTCAGACCAAGAATTTCAAAAGGAGACTGAGGTTTTTAACATGTCTTACTCCCGCTGACTTTCACTAGTATTAGTGTGTTCTGTGCCTTTGAAAGTTGCAGCCAAATTATTATTTATTTCAGGTACTTGGAAACCAAAAAGACAACCTGCATTCGCCACAGTAGCTCGGAAGCTAACGGAGCAGCTATAAGACTTCCAGGCCAGATAAAACGTTACTGAACGCTAGTCAAAAGAACAGCGTGCCTGGCTGATTGTTTTGCCTGTTTGCTAAGTTGCGTGAGCAGGTTGAATACCTTCAAATTTGTTACTGTAGAAAGCTACAAAACACAAGACGGGGGCAGGGGGGGGGGGAAGCGATGACACTATAACTGCAAACCTTTTATACGCTATTACAAGCTTATGTAACTAATGAGACCGCTGGGAAACAAGCCTGCATTAAGACCTATATTTTGGAACCTGGCCAAAATCAACTGTTTCTATTAACCATTGTCAATTTAATGGTGGAAAAGATGCTCATAAACCAGAGGGAGAAACCTTCAAATATAAAGGGACATCTATGGTTCTCACAGCGCTTACTGCACTATGTCTTACCAGCAAAAATTTCAGGAAAGGGTGGGAATGCAATTGTAACACTGCCTGGATATAAAAAAAGTGTGAACAGATTTTTATAGAGCAGATTTTGAGTTAGGAAAAATCAGAACACTGATGACACCTTTTATTTTTTCTATTTTTTTTTACCTAAAAAAATAAGTTCAGGCTCAACCAACACCAAATTATTTAATGACAGAAATTACAGAATTAGTTCTCACAGAAAGGCTTGAATTTCTGGGCTTTTTTTTATAACTGCTTAAAGAGTTTATGGAAATATCCCCCTGCCCTGAGCATGAACCAAAATAACAGAAATAGGAAAGCTTTGATGCAGTTCCCTGCTTCATAGCAAAGAGGAGGCATGCTTAACATTGAGCATCCATCACGTAAGAAATAAGGGCTCAGGATATCAAAGAGAATACTTTGCAGCAATAAATTAGTCCAAGATGTGCACCAGTTTTGTTTTTATGTCCCACCTGGATCAGCTCAGTCAAGTATGCAGGATTTTTGAGACTGCAGAATAATCTCTTTCTAGAAAACTATGACTCACTCGGGTCTTCCACTACCGAAATCAGAATCTGAACACTGTCAGGCAGATGAAGATCGATTCAAATTCCCTCCCGGCTCCAGCAGTATACAGTATTTTGCTGTAGTGAGCTGAGGCCGCTCCTTACTGTGTGGCTCCTGCATGAGTTTTGGCTACGTTACGCTGCGGTTCTTTGGCCTGTAAAAAACTACTTTCCCTCAGGTCAGCTTCTCAGGAGAAAACATTCGAGTTTTTAAGTCAACTTTCAGGTCGACAGGTCAACTTTTTGGAGATGAAGGCAACAGTTTGCAGTTGCAATAAAATGATTTATTACATTTTCCCTTTGGTAGGAGCTTTTCTCCTTAGCAATATAAAAGAAAGCTACATTGGTAACAGTATTCAGGAGGAGGAGAATATTATTTCTGTGGCAACTAGCCCCTCCTCCTCCTCAAAGCAGAGCAAATGTAACGGTATCCTGCTCTTTCCACACCATTAGAGCCGGGAGGAAGATATCTGAAATCAGCCAAGCAGCAAACCTACCAGGAGAGCTCACAGCCTGCTGCACTCAGCACTTTGTTCTCAGCTGGAAAAGCTATTGCACATGCACATAGGAAAGACGGATGGAGATTCAAGATGCCTGTTACTCTTCATATTCAGTTGGGCTGGCACCATAATGCATTGAGCAGTGGCATTTCAATATCTCCGTTTTATAACGTAGTTTTAAAATAAATTGTTCAATAAAGCAAGCACGGAAGTTCTCCTAACAAGCTATACCACTGACAAGACTTCTGGGACTGGCACAGTCTCTCAGTTCATGTTTTCAGTCAATCACATCCACTGATTTTGAGATCTAAGTTTTAGGAAGTTGAAGCGTCAAGATAGAAAGGGCTCACAGAATACCGTTTGTATGAGAAAGGAAAATTACTCTCCTTTCTCCTTAGAATTCACCTATAAGACCCGTGGCCTAAACCGGTATGGGTGAAATTTTGAAACAGCTCTTCTACTATGAGCAGTTTTTCCTATGTTGCAGCCAGTGCTCTAGTTGCTGCTCTAGTCTAGTGGGTAGCATTTCTCTTCATCGCTATTGAACGGCTGCTCAGGTCAGAAGAGACTCATCAGCTGTCAGTGCGCTCTAATGTATGGCAGGGAGTAGTGACAAGATACATGTCCTTTGGAAGTCTGAAGACATAAGTTTACAACCCGAATAGCAGCATTTAAAAAGTGAAATTTTTTTTTTTTAAGCCCTAGAGGCAGTGACAAGAATTATCCAGAGGCTACAGTATTTCTTTCTGTTAATTAGGATCATTATGACAGCTTCTCGCCTTCCAATCTACTTATTCTGAAAAAGGGAAATTATGGGTAAGAACTTACGTGCCCTTTACTACTTAAATATGATACAAAACATACACCGGGGATTTCCACATCCAAGGGGAACTGCACATTAGGGAGCACCCTTCATTGCAGCTCTACTGAGCCCCAGGGCAGTCTCTACTGGCATTAAATCTAAGCTTGGGCTTCAGTTTCATACGTTTGGCTTTTGCCTCTGGAGCTTCCACACCAGACACATTTTCCACATGCAATTAAGTAATGGTGAGTGAGTTGTTGTACATGACATTTAATTTTCAGTAGCTGGGGAAAGTAACACAGGAGCTACAGGCAAGATCATTAATCTCCTCTGAATCCTCTGTGCTGCCAAGTATAGCAACTCATTCTTCATTGTGCTAATGCTGCTCTTCCATCATTTCTGTGTATGCAGTACCAGACAGAGTCATGCCAGTAAATGTACACATTTATATGCATTCACTCACAGATTATTACATTGTCCACAGTTAGGCTGTGTGTGAGCAAAGAATACCAAACTATATGAAGCATGAGGTATATGTTCATGAGAAGACCACATTATACCCTGGCATGGGGATAAACGCCCAACAGCAGTCAGAGCTGAAATAGATGCATTCATGAAACTCCAAAATACTAAAGCATATATGAACTCTGGAAAAGAGACATCTTCAAAGGCTCCCTATCCAGGGTCATAAGAGTAACATTTCCTGAACTAGAACAGGAACTGAACAGACTGCAGGGGACACACAGAGGGGTCTTAGTTCACCCATAGGCTGAGAGGAAAAATTTTCATGCTTGGAGGTAAAGTCAACCCACACGTAATTCTTATGCAGCTGAAAGATTATATGGGTCTGAATATATTCCCTCCTACATACAGGCACCACAGGGCTCCTTGTCAAGTTCAGGTTTTCCCCTCTGTACAAATGAGCCTTATCCCACCTTTTAAATCCTATTCCCAAGCCCATCCAAAGCTGTCCTTCACATGTGCATCCAGCAGATAATCTACACTTGCCCGCTTTCCCTGCAGCAGCTCCTCTTAGCCTGTGCACCATTTTAACCCCCTCTGCAAGGCAGGCTGAAGCAAGGTGCCCATCCCTTCTCTGGGCTAGTTGGTACCAACCTGCAGCATCTTAGCCTGGGGGGAAAGAAGCTCTTACCAGGATGCTCTCCAGCCCAGGAGGGACAGCTTAAGTTTCTAGCAGACACTCCAAAACAGGCATTCAATTTCATTAGATCTTATTTTTTACATTATTAAGGAGAACTCTTCAACAGCCCTGAGATCATCAGCTGAGGAAAAGGTTTACTTCACTTCAAAGAGAACTGAGGAAGCTTAGCACTGACAAAACCAGGCCATGAATGTAACAAGCTAAAATATAAACAAACATTTTGATGAGAACTATCTTACCGTATGAAAACTAACTTGACCTTTGATGGGGCAGTCTTAATTATTGCAGAAGCATTCTGATGACTTCTTCCATACAATATCTGATTGTTTATCTGTTAAAACAAAATGAGAATATTCATGAAAACGGATTTAAAAGCAGGTATGCATTGTTTCGAATTTATATCACACAATCCAAGACTTCCAAATTTACTGTGGGCTAACAAGATAAGACTCAAAGAAAGTATGGGATGTAAAATAAAAATCACATTCCTTTTGAGAGTTATACATTATAATAAGAGCATTTCTCTAGCACAGCTGTGCTCTAGAAAGACATCACCCATGACAAGCACATAGGAGGAAATAGGCACCATGGCCTCTCTCCGTACTCAGCTCTGTCCTAGACTCCAAGGCCAATTTTCCCTTCCATCAGGAGGAGGACAGCGAGTAACCTGGAATTCAGAAGCAACACGTCAACACTAAATTAGCTTTCTTATCATCCTTTTCAAAAGAAAAATCATGATTTAATTTTAAGAACATGCTGCTTCTCATCCTGATTCCAAAAAAACACCGCAAAATTGCAGCCTTAGAACTGATTTTAAAATACTATGTTTTCGACATCTTAGTCACCAATTTATCTAAGAAAATATACTGAATTAATAGCAAAACATTCCAAGTTTTCTTCTAGACCAATACAAAACAGGAACCAACACAGAGCTAATTTAGTCTTACTAGTAATCCACAAATCAGAGAAGTCTTTTACTGTTCTTCATAGATCCAGTACCAGAAATAAAATGAAAGTTAAGTTTTGTTTCTACATTGTTTGAGAATAACTAGATCTGTGAAGAATCATATAAACAGGACAACAGCAAAGACTGAGACAGACACTCCTGTACCTCACCTATAGGCAACTAGCAGTTTAGGAATAGTTGCTATACAGACTATGCTGATTCCTCATTCCCACTGATAGAAACAAAACTAATAGCAGTGTGGGACAGAAAGAACAATTAAAGGATATGCCACATTACTTTTGTTGTTAAGGATCAAATACCCAATTACAGCAACAAACACAAAGTACTACTTTGGACAACTTTTCTGCATGCAAACAAACACTGTAGTTTTCTTAGGGAAATAGCGTGGCTGTAAAAGTAGGTGCTTCAGGACTTTTCTTTCTTTAGGAACCTGAAGTCCTTTCCCAATGTGAGGAAAATGAGATGCCTACTCATTCTCAGTGTCATGCTCAGCCAGTGTGAGTTTAACATGGACAGCAGCTGCCTAAATATCTGAATATAGTAGTTATTTTCAAGCCAACCAGACATTATCAGCAGCAGAAAATAGTAACGTTTAAAACATTTCATTCATTTCACAAGCAAGCCTAGCATTCAGTAGTACACCCCAGTGGGAGTGCAGATTACGTAACGTAAATATGAGTACCACAACAAATTTCAAAGCTGGGAAAAGCTGAGTTGAGTATTGTGAAAAAAAAACTATGTCAAGGAGACAAAAAATGCTTGAGTAGTCTCTTGGTTCTACCCTGATGATTTCTAGACTGAAAGTTAAGCTGAACCAAACACTCCAAAAGGTAGTCAAGGAAAGCATCTTTCACTGACAGTAGGGAGCAAGACTACCAGGACCATCTTTCTTCAATTTCTACAATTCAGACTGGAATAAGCATCAAGATAAAAGTGTTCTGTGGAAGAACAGCTATTTACCCAAGCCTCTAAACACCTGTGCTTACTTTGGTGTTTGCTACCAGAACCAAAGCAAGGCATTTCTTTACAAGTGCAGTCATGAACAGTTACTCTGTTCCAGGTAAAAATGTAAACTAAATGTGAACATGGGATTCAAGACTATATCTCATGTTTTGGGTTTTTTTTGTTTTGTTTTTTGCCCCCAAAAGAAGGCAAAACTTTGAAGTCCTGAAATTTCTTTGAAGAAAGAGAAATTCAATAGCATTTGGAGTTACAACGTCAGTTCAGGTTCACAGTTCATCTAATCCAGTGTCTTGCCTTCTAAGGAAGCATCAGACGTTTCCAAGTAGGCAGAATAATGTGCTATTTAACCCTTTCAAAATTCTTACTCCCAGTCTCCTAAGTAAATTAATGCACCTCTCTGGAATTTGAGTGTTCGTACACCCTTTCAAAGTGAGCAGCCAGCACCATTTTAATACTTCAAGCTTTTCTCCCACTCTTTGCTTACAACATAAAATTTACATTCACCTTTGGCATACCAATGCTGATGTATAAAACAATTGCATAATGAAGCAGAGAAACAACTTACTAATGATTATAGAGCAACTTTTCATTCGTTATTCAAGGAAACATTCATACTGGATTTTGGTTTTGCTTTCCCAGCAGATTTTTTTGTCATTCAAACAGGAAATAATTAACCAAAAGTCTTAACAGCGTTGTGTCATATGGTCAGTCTATTTGGGTCATAGCAGTGACTTCGTAATACCCACATCTTATGTTCAATGGGTCAAACTAACATGCAAGTTCATCACTTAATAGCCTATCCCCTAAGCAGCAGTTATTCATAATAATAAGGAGGCTTGAAATGCAACAATTTACCTACCAATCTGTTTCCTGTGCAAAGACAAAACCAAGAAAGGTCCACACGAGTCTAAGACAGCCTGAAATGATCAGCCCCAAGCAAACAGCATTACGCTGAACTTCGGAAGGCTTCGGATGAGGTGCTGTTTGCAATTTTCACAGTTGGCAAGGTACTGTGAGAGGCAACCTCCTAGACCACACTTTGCTAATCAAAGACAAGCTTAAAAATACGGCAGGAAAAATGAATGAGTACTCAGTTGCATTGTGTGTTCAGAGCAGACTCCTAATATTCAGTGAGCTTGTTGACAAAATTTCTCTCAGTTTAAAAATAAATTATTCCTGGGAATATTGTCTGTTTTACCAATTGTTTGGAGTTAGTTAAATTACCATCAATTTTTCCAAACAGCAGACTTTTCAGATTAGAATTTACAGTCTTTACACTGGCTAAATTAATCCTATTCGGTGGATGTATCAAACAGTCCAAAATTTAATTAGCTGTGAGCTGGGTCTGTAAGTTCTAATTATATAATTACACAAAAATGAAAGGGTAATCAAAGTAATATATCTCCTCAAGGTTTCAGACTGTCCCACATAAGTTATTACAGACAGTATTAATTTTTCTTTTTTAAAAAGGTCACTCTCTTGCAAAGTAAATTGATGTTATACTAGCTTCAGATGAGTGATGAGTGAAGCACAAAAGCCTACTTTTAAAATCTTAAATCTCCCAATTTAAGTAAAACAACATCAAATTAACCAAATGAGTATTCTAGGAGTCAAAACCTACAAATCTGTGCTTTATTTTTCCCATTAAAGATTAACTCTTCTCTTTCAGAGAAGGAAAAAAAACTTGACTAAACTGATCTAAATTAGCCTCAGTTCAGTGGATTCTTTAAATGCATTTTTACACAACTTATTGGAAATATAGTAGAGCACAGAGAAAGAAAAAAACTGCCATAGATAGGAGGCCAGGTCAGCACACATAAGTTTTAATGCTGGATCCTTAATATAAATCTACAGTGTTTTATGGCTGATTTTATCACGTATTCCAAATTTACTGTTGCCCGTACCTACAAAATTTTTGTTTTACAGTTTCAGATACCAAAATAACAGGAAGCACAAATGCACTGAAAGGTGAACTTTTAAATTAAGAGAAAAAAAACTTAAAGGATTGTTTGCTTCTCAAACTTTAATTTGCAGAAGAGAAACATTAGATATGAATATTAAAAAGAGGAGCTTTACTTCTACTATGTGGCAGTCATGGAAAATCATGAAATAAATAACATCTTGATTTTGTTTTTTTATAAAATCAAGTCAAATGACACCCTAAGCCCAGTAAAAGACCTGACATAGCAGATTAGCTTTCTATAATTAGTATTTGTAACAATTAATTAGGTTTCCTCTAACCACAGGAATTGCAACATTTTGAGATTTAACCAGATTCTACGAACCAATGGGAAAAGTTTCAAAAATTTGTCATAAGTCAAATTATATAAACTGAAAATCTATAAAATCCCCCCCCCCCGAAATAAAGATGAGGAAAACAGTAGAAAGAAAATTATCAATTAGAATGTAAATTCTACTTTTCTCACCCAATTTCTTGCCCAGCACATGTTCAATCACATGCATCTGAAGCGATCAGACCATAAATTCCATAAAGACCAAAAATCCCCTGCCCTGCATTGCAATTTGGCTTTGCCCCATTGACTAGGCAGCAACTAATCCCTGTTGTTTCCCATGTAGAGAATGGAAAGAGAAGGAAGGGGAAGACAGAAAACTGCAGATTGCCCATGCCCTCATGAACTACAGGTTTTTCAGATCACAGCTTTATCTAATTTTGCAATTTAAAAATCACCATCTAGCACTAACCTTAATCAATAACCTCTAAAAAGCATATGAAAAAAAGTACCTGTGTTCTTATATAAGACCAAAAGGGCACTATCTCTCTACTCCTACTTTCAGTAAATGAATCTCAAAACAAGAACGGAAGCTATGACTATCATGCTTTAAATGGGAATTGAAAAAAAACACCACTGGAGGTAATCATCCCAAGATTACTTCTTTTCTCATGCAAAAACCCTTCTCTCTTTCCATGGGAAAGTTGTTATCCTTCTTTTGGGATGGTACTACTTGCCTAATCCTAAATAACTATCTTGAAATAGAAAATGAAAGAAAAAAAAATCCCACAACAAATAAACTGAGAATGAAACCTCAACCCCCCACCCCCCATCCTAAAACAGAAGTGACATCATGATATTGCCTGGGTAGTTCATTTATTTAAAAAACTTGGGTAAACAACTAGTACATGTTATATTATTATAGCACCACTTATATCTATTCAAGAGTCTTAAAATAAAATTGCAATAAAAATACATTTAGCACAAAAGTTTCCTGGGTGGGCTTTGAGGTATGACAAGAACGGCATAAAAATTAATTGCCTCTCGTGCAGCAATCCAGAACGGACAAGAGAGAAACTCGTACGCTGACTCCTGACTCTGAAGACTAGCTCGCTCTCTCTCTCAGAAGTGCTGTGCTTCCCAGGGCAAAACGACCAAACAGCAGAAGAGCAGTTCCCTCCTAGTGCCTGTCCCACTTTCAGCAAGATAACCACGGACAGGAAGCAGGCAGAAAATCCTACGATCATTAATTTACTCTAGCAGAATAGGGCTCTGTACAGCTTACTTTATTAATAGGAATACAGTCGAGACTCTTATGGAGAGATAATAATACCTGGGGGGATTATTCAGTGTGAACAGGCCCCTGCAGAGCTCCTGAGCAGCGGGGGTACAGCCCTGTGGTATTGCCCCGCGGGCCAGCCTGGCTGCAGTCTGTGCAGGACCGGGTCCAAACTAATAAGACTGGAAGCAGTGCAGACACCTGCACTAAAACAGCAAGAGTGCGAAGCAGCAGCACCGCCTATGGTTTTTCTCCACTTTGAAAAATAACAAAAAAATAGAACTGTGTGTAACGTTAAAAGTACATTCTTGCGCACAGGGAGCAAATATTGCTCCAAGTACTTTTCTCCATGAACAGTATGAAAGTAGGGTTCAAGGGCCTTCTACCTCAAATAGCTGTTTTCTTCAGCAGCATACCCATCCAAATTACATCACAGAAGTCTCATCAAAAATTGCATGTAAACATTTTTTTTTTTTTACCGGGATCTCACTCAGTGTATAGGCTGGACCTACTTTAAAAATGAGCCAGCATCATGCCCCATGTTGATTGCAGAAGCTAAAAGTGAAACGGTATCTCGTTAATTCAGTGACAAAAGATTTTGTGAATGAGGAGTTAAGGCTGTCTGGCAGCATTCTGTATCCTTCAACCGAATCCAATCAAACTCCAGCTCAAAAGAAAATGACGAATTAAAATACATATAAAGGCATCCATTAATCTTCCCTTATCAATAGCCAACAGAAATAATCTGTAAGTGTGTGCCGTAGTGTCCACTGTCTTAATGGATCAACACTAATGAACAGCAGGCTTCACTGGGGTAATCTGGGACAGTAT